TCAGGGCAATTGAACGGACATCGAATCGGTTATCAGACTGCAACGACGCAATAAAAATTAGATTTTTTCAGGTCCATTATGAGTGAAGAATGAATTGACTGCGATGAAAGATAACCCTTTCATATTTTTGCAAGAATAATTTAACATTTCTTTCATTTTTCCATGTTTGACAATTGAGAATAAATTGAAAATATCGATACCTACGCCACTTGGGCAACAAAGGGCTAAGCTACATAAAAAAATGAATTAAAAGTCAATCAGCCAGTTGCTCAAACATCCTTTAAAATTGTCATTAGTTTAAAGCGACATTACCCATACTGATATTCATTAAAGCTTAAAGGCGTCATTAAACCTTAATGGATGTTTGTGATTGTGTTGTTAAAAAGATCTCAGCAGCGAGACAGCGGAAAGCGACTTTGCTTTATAATATGTATAGATATAGATAATTTTGTAAAATCCCGTCTTTCTATGCAAACTTATTGTTTAATATGCTACGTTATTGAAAAAAAAAACAAAATTATAATTTACGTATATTGTTCAGGTAGCCGCCCGAGCCCCTATAGCGGCACGCGCACCCGTCTCACCACCGCACATACGGTGTAATTGTGACCTGTCGCGTCACGCCACTATTACGAAAACATGACCACATTTTGTTCCAGTATTTCCTTACGAAATTGTTTCCGATTTGCTTTTCTATCTACACTCTAGAGGGACACTTAAAAGATATTATTTGTGTTTTCATTTAAATAATTAATAATAATCAATCTCAATAAAAAACTTGGCTATTAAAATTATATCGATGTTATAAATATGTGTATAATGTATGATGACACTATTTAATAAATGTTATTTTTCCGCTAATTAAAATTTATTATGCCAGTATTGTTAGCTACCATTCTATGACTAAATATGTAATATGGCCAAAAGATGTTTCTTTTAATAAGCTTCTTAAATTTTGATGTAAAAAAAAAACATCAATTGTGCCAGCAGCTATAAAAAATTACGTATCGGTTATTTTTAAGTACTCTTTAACATAAAATAAATCTTAATTTTTATTTGTTAGTACAATAGCGGTAACAATTCAGTTGTACTGACCAGACTAAGTTTAGGTTCAGTCCTGTCATATTATTTTTTTCCGAATAACCGAATGAAACTTATTATATTTTAGCATACAGGAGTATACTATACAGTATAACTACTATTGTAGCAGATGGACTGTAGCTGGATATGAAGGCGGGTAACGGGTAGGTAGCAGAGGTTTCGAGTAAAACACTTGGTTCGGAGAAACTCGGAGAGCGTTCGAAGGCAGAAAATGCTTTATTACGCAAAAAATATTTCTTATATACAATTTGATTGATCGCACTTAGCTCACACATAAATCAGTTAGTCTTATTAGATTCCTTAGAGTGGGGATACGCTACCACGCACCGCGCGGGGAGGGGAAGGTTTCTTTGTTTCTTCGTTGGTGGCGCTATTGTCGCGGCGTGGGTCGGTGTTCTTTATAACTGTATAAAGAAATAATTTTTTGATTACATTACATTACATGACTTTAGAATACTGTTAAAACAAACTCGAATAAAAGTAAAAAAAAAATAGTTTAAAGTTTAATAAGTACAACAGCATTGGCACCAATATCCCCATACTATGAAAGTCAATTTTTAACTTCCTAGGAATCTATGTTTTAACTTCTGTTAAAGATAAATTGTACCGTCACCCATGCGATCGCATTGCCTAGTCTACATAATATAAGACACTTCCCCCTGCATTGTGGGAATTTTAACACCGGTTCTTTAGTAGTTCTCAAATAGTGATGGGAATATTTCACGACAAAAGCGGATAAAAAGCTGACCTAATTTTTTTATTTTTTTTTAACTTAAAAAAAGATTTAACTAATACGACTAGTAGTGTTTCATTGTTAAAGGAACAGTGACATTTTAAACAATTATTATTATCATTATCATTATTGAAACCCTGACTGGTGTATTTAAGTGAAATCTAGAATTTTCTTGGTGACAGATTATTCAAAACTGAATTTTAATAGACTAATCACAACCCTGAATATGGAAAAGACCTGTTTTAAAGCCGAAATTAGTTAAAAAAGTTTAGTGTATCCAAATTTTCTTACAAGCAAAATGTATAAAATTTAAAGAAATATAAAATATGAATTATCATTATACATTTGGTTTTTTATAATATCATTATACATTTTTAATCTTCTTTCTTCGAAAACTTATCTTTTTATTTTCGACAAGGCCTCTACCGACACTTGCAATTTTAGTTTATCTGACACTTGCAATTTTAGTTTATCTGCTTTAGAGTAAACACAATGATTTCTTTTCAACGCCCATAATTATTACATTTTATTAGAGCAAATATTTTCTTTTTTCACAAAATGACATTTTTTTTCCTTGGTCCATCTCTAACGTCAAGCAACACTAATATATACGATCGTATAAATTATACCAATCACTTGAAGCATAATTACGAGTTGCGTCACATAAAGTCAAATTACCGACCGGTCGACTTTGATTCGAATGATAACGTGCGCAACTGCGTTGACGATTTGCGTTAATAAACAATATGACAACTGCATGTTTCTGCTACACTAATCACACCTATGGTTATTGTACCAACACGCTAAGGCTCATGATACTAACATATTCTATAGATATGTAAATGAAATAACATTTTGTTAGTCTCACTAAAACTCTAGAACAAAAATTTTGATACTGATATATTTTTAGTAGTATTAATTGTTAATTAGTTGTTTGATTTTGTTAGAAATATTTAAATCACTTCCTAATAATGAACTAATATTGAATCGGTACTAGTCGTGCTTAAATATTTATTTGCATATAAGTATGTTTGTTTATAAATAATAGTAGTAGGTAATTTTTTACGTAACGTTACTCAATTTCGTATCAAGTATACAGATAAGATTGGCAACATCGCTTAAATGAAACTAGTAATATTGACAAATAATACAATTAGTACAATAAATGCTATTGGAACTTACCCCGAACGGATTCCGATGATTTAATAAGTATTGTTGTTAATGGTTCAAAATAATAAAAAAAAAAACTAATTTTCTGTTACAATATTAAGAATATAAAGACAGATTCTTTCGTTACACCACACTCATTATTAAATTAATATACAAACGCATACCAAACGAAATCAATATGGTAGTCAAGAATAGGGTTACATTTTATTTATTGCTATTGTTAATCACTGATTAAATTTATCTTTTATTACCACACCAAGAATCGCTCAAATGTTTCCAGGCACTTCACTAGCCATCTACCGTAATTTATTATGTTACTATTTAAAACGGTGATTTCGCAATGTTCTTTACATTACGTGCTTAGTACGACGCAATGTAATAAATATGCGTACTTATTAATATGAAAATGTAATATATATAAATATGAGCAATTATTATATTTTCTTGGAAATATTTTTGTGATTCACACTTTTGATAACATTTCACGAATTTCGACAAAAAATACTGTATTTGAGAAGTGTTCTACTTATTTAATGGACAGAAATCCTTCCTTTTAGGTCCAAAAGATGGATGAGGATGGGCTACTTGTTCTGCGATTAATAATTGCGCAAGTCGGCATTTTTAAAATTTTTAGTAGCGTGTTTCACAGTACTTACAGCACGCGCGTTTGTGAATGACTAAACATCGCTATCGCGTGGTGAAGTCATGATCCTGTATATTTGTCCAGGATCGTGGCTACACTGCCACGCCCAGAAGGCCCTTCTAACGTCTTTCTGTGTTCTGTGGTCCAACCTATATGAAAACCTCTCCCTCCCATAAATTATCTTACTTAATAAATTAATAATAAATATATGGCGCCATAATATATGTAGATGGAAACATGTGATTTAATATTTGAAATCCCTACACTACAAACTGTTTAAAATGTACACCTACTTATTTAACAACACAAATAAATTATTTACGATTATAAAGTGAATAAGTTGACTTGTATGACAAATTATGTAGTTCGTCACAATGCCGCCACGTGTCCTATCGGTGATAATTCTATTATATTCCTATAAGCGAATATGAGGGTAATATGAGTTTTCTATTTTCTTTTATGCTTACGTAACGACGCCGCTCGAAGACACATTTGAATAATCAATCGTTTATTAATGTCCCAGATCAGTGACGTGGCAATATCCTTTCAAACTTTGCCGCTACCTCACTGGCATTTGCGGATGATTTGATTAAGGTATTGTGTTAAAAAATATACATGCGCATATTTTTAGATATTCGCATATAAATATTGAGGCCAGCTGCAATCACATTAACAATATGACGATGGAAGATCACGGTTTCATTCTATAACTATCAGAGGTAGAGTAGAAAATATAAGTAATTTTCTACATACTGGGGATCTACTACGGGACATTGACCACAGCTAAAACCGATTTCGATGATAAAAATCTATACTATCATACCTTTTCAATCGGAAAAAAAATATTGTTTATTTCATTTGCTTAAAATGGGCTTCGAAACTATTAAACCAATTTTAAAAATGGAACTGACTTCAAATTTGAATACGTCAAAAATAATAGTTATCTTAAAATCGGTTAATTTTTTCAAGAAATATTGAATTCGAGCTGAGGTTTTCTGTATTTTAATTAAATACAAAAAAAATTAACCACTTTTAAGATAAGTATTATTTTTCACTTTTTAAATTTGAATCGTTTTAATTTTTCTTTAGTTTTATTTCATGCATTTTAGTGATATTTTGAGTTTTGGGGTAACAAACGCAAATGCAAATTTAAGACTTGTATGGTTTTCACATAGATGCCATTGCCAGATCTGGACCGAATTGAAATTAAAATCGGTCCACCTAGTAAAAAGTTATGAGGTAACCAAGAAAAAAAATAGTCGAGTTCAGAACCTCCTTGTCGGTTAACAAATTATATCTAAAATTCGTCTGTGTTTACTATAGTTGGTCTATGTGTGTCTGCCTTAGGTGACCATGGAAACTAATCCTGGTAAGCCGGAGACTCTTTGTCACGTTTGTGGCGACAAGGCATCGGGCAAGCATTATGGCGTGCCATCATGTGATGGCTGCAGAGGATTCTTCAAAAGAAGCATCAGACGGTACCTACTTTACAACTCGAGCGTCATCTCCGTTCCTCTTCGAACTTCTTTTATCAATACTTCAACATGTTTTTTTGTTTTCAGAAATCTCGACTATGTTTGTAAGGAAAATGGACGGTGTGTCGTGGATGTAACCCGTCGTAACCAATGTCAGGCCTGCCGGTTTTCCAAGTGCTTAAGAGTGAACATGAAGAAAGATGGTGAGCCATTAAAATTTTCCATAACTTTGATAATTTTTTTAAGCTTTTTGTATAAAATATTAATTATTATAAAATAATATGTAATATTAAAACGTAATATTAATTATTTTTAGAGTTCATTAATGGAAACGACAGAGCTGTTAAAAGATTCGTCCGTTAATCACAGTCACAGCTAAGTTGTTTCGAATTTACTGGACCGATAAATATGATATTTTAATTTATCTAAATATGGGCGGTCTCTTTTGTGGTACCTTTGATAAAATCAAAGGGTCTTTGAAATTTAATTAGAAATATGATTTTGTCATTTACCTATTAATTTCAATCAGATTATATGACACTTATTAATTTAAGATCACAGAAAATAACTTTCATGTGTCTAAGTTTATCTTATTACTTGCAAATACGTCACTGTTCAGTTGTGAATGTACCTATATAGGGTGGAGTCACCTAGTATCGGCCACTGCCTAATATCTGCCGTTTTGAGTAAATGGAACAAAATTTTAAAAAATATTCCTAAAATTTTATTTTTACGCAAAAAATAGCTGTATATCCTCACGAATAACGTGCTATATCTTGGTGTGGGTACTCCAACATTTAAACATTCTGCCCTATGATTGTGTAAAAATCCAGACCCGAATTCGAATGCACTCATGTGTACGTCAAATTCGGTACGCCTAAAACTATTTTTATCAGCTACGGCCGATATATAGGGAATCGATGTGTTATAACGGCCAACTTATTATTGTGTATTTTGTTTCCTAGTAACTAATATCGATATTGCATTGAATTGTGAATTCTCACTTCCGGCTTCATTATAAGCCGGAATAAAATATTTGCCAGTTTGCAGTAGTCCAAATTCTAAAATTCAAAACAACTTCTGGGTATGGTGTCTCGCCAGCTTTAAGAAAACATGTGCTTATTGCATTAGATTTTGGCACCAACACCAAGCCTAGGAAAGAAAAAAAAGAACGTTAACGAACTTATGACCTTTCGTAGTGAGGTACCTAGGAATGCTGATTGCTTTAAGCATTTTTCTTTAAGGTTAATTAATAAATTGCAAAACATGATTGATAAAATATAATATATTGATATGGTTATTGTAATTGCAATCACTGCTTAATGCATTTAATTTAAAAATCCTTTGCTAAGTTTAGGGTTGATTTAATTTGGTAATTATTTAAAATAATTTAGTCCTTGGTTCCTTTCTTTATTTTCATTGAAATGTTGATACATTACGATCTTTATTATTTTGATTTCTAAGACAGAGGTGTAAAAAGACTATTAAGAGTTAAAAATATGGATTGTATTATTTAAAATTACAAGCAATCATAGATAAAAAAATATATATTGACTGGAATTGTCTATTATTAACAGAACTAAGTTACTCCAAAAAAGGGGAAAGATTTGAGTTATTTTTCTCTCTCATTGACTTGATTGTTTAAAACAAACCTCAAGGCCGATTTTTTTTTTTTTCACATACTAGGAATTTTGTATACATAAAATGTTATCATTTCATTTTGTACATTATTAATAGCAACGTTAAAGACTACCTCTTTAACTGATTTTATATCTTAAAGGAGGAGGTTCTATGTACAACCGACGGGTATTTATTTTAATAATTTCTCCGGAATTATAAACTGATTTTCAAAAACTTTTATAATCGAAAGCTTATGAGTATTATCCCATTAAAATCATGGAAATTGGGTTAGCAGTGTTGTTTTACTACTACGTCGACATATTTAATTTTATCATCGATTTCTTCGTTTAAAGATTACGTATCAGTAACAATTTTTTTAAAAATAACCTTTACATTGTCCGTATATTTATGAAATAGCAAAGTTTGTAAAAATGTCTAAGGTTCTAGTTGAAGTGAGGTTAAGTAAATATTGTAATAAAATAAAGATAAAAAGAAAAATTGTGTGTACCGCCAAGATGAGCACATTATTTCAAAAATGATTTTTAATTGGCTAACGTATTAATAAGCTACCAAAACACTTCACTGACATGACTTTGATGAAAACTCCATGAATTTCTTCAGTAAAACGTGTCAATTATTATACATTTTATTGATTAAATATTAAGGAGTTCTTAAATGATAAAGCGGTAATTAAATTGGTATACATTTTAATATCATTGGTAATTTAATTAAATTTAACATTTGTAATGTCAATTTGTAAATATAATGTTATAGTCAAATAGTTGATTATTAATCATTGACATGATATATATTGTAACATTACATTATTATGTGTTGCAATGACTAGTTAAAAATTTTGCACACTGTTCATTACTGTTTGAAACTAATGTTATCAACTAAAATTACTTATTTGAAACATATTGGTCACTGACGAAGTGTGACGAGGGTGGTGTGGGCACAGGTGTACAAAATAAATCCAAATAAGAATATTTACAAAACTTATATTGTCCACAATAGCAGGTACTCGTCAAAGGCACTTGTCATTAATCATAAAACAAAATTTATAAAAACAAAAATCAAAATAAATTTTAAAATATATAAAAAAGCTATCAAAAAATACTCAACTATAAAAAGAGGTCGGTCCAGCTGCCGGTTCTCAACAATATTCTTGCAAATAAACAAATAGTATTATTACTATATCGTACTTTTAGATAATGTTAATTTATGGGTTCCATTAAGTTTTTACTTTGATTTAAGTTTTAATTCGAAAAAGAATCATGAAATAAACAGTGAAATTAAGGGGTGACTTCGTGATTTTTTATTGTATCGAAGAAATAATCACGTTTTGGTTGTGACATTTGATGTAGTTTTCTCATTTACAGCTTATTTTCATATTATTTATTTGTACAAAACCAGTTGAGTGTAAGTGTAACTTGGATGTATGCGCCCTCTTAATATCTATAGATGCTCTATAATTTTTATAACGCGACGAATTCGAATCAATACGGTACACGGCCGAGCTCTTGTTCCAATAAAGTATTTATCCAGGGTGCCTTCATCGCAGCATGTCTTTTCCATTAAGAGACAGCTCGAGTATTTGCGGTGCGCAATTGTCAGTGAGTGGTGAGGAAAAATGAGGGGATAGTGTTAACTTATTCTCTTATACGGCGCGCGTAACACACCGACTTTCACACGACCTCCGAGTCGATACTGAAAAGTTAGAAAAAAATAAAAATATTCTGTGAAACACTTTCTAAATTCATCAAGATAATCGAAATTCATTTTATTAAAAATACGCGTTAACCGCATTTAAGATGAGTATTAAGTTACACTGCACGGATCAAATCCGGTGACTAATCATTAAAATTTGATCCTTAAATAGTTAGTTCATATGTGTTTGCCTCTTATTTCAAACGTCAATATAAAAAGACAATGACAGCTTTCAACTTCAAGTTCTTTTGGTGTTGGTATATGACATATTCATAGGTCAGTTTTAAAGGACAAATTAATTGCTGGGTTGGAGTTGGAGCTGTGCCATTTAGGTTAAAACGGTAGTTTCTTACTTACTATATGATTTAGGTGAGCTATGACCCCCTATTTACCCGTTTTGAAATTGGTTTTATTTTTTTCAATTATTTGTATTTTAGTTATCTATACTACCTGTTGATGATTTTTTGTGACACATCAAAAGTATGTTAACGGCAATCATCGAAAAGGAAATCTCGAGGTTTTTGTTTTCTTCGAAATTAATTATTTTTTATTTGGCAAAACGCTTACGGTTATTTTTTATAAAAACTGATTAATGAATTTCGATTAAATTTTAATGGGTCCACTTCAGGCCCATTTTGAAAATTGGTCTACAACTCACGGAGAAATCGGTGTACATACATAACAAAAATATATATAGTTGTCGAATATAGAAATTCATTGGTTTTGCAGTCGGTTTAAAATATATTGATTTCCCTTAAAATGCCTCCACTACCGGCCATTTTACCAGATGAAGCCGAAAATAAATATTGATTTTAATGTAAACAAAGTTTGATTTAAACTTTAACCATTTTAATTTTCTGTGGTAGTTCCTCAATAAATTGAATTTGTGTTAAACATAAAACGATATTATATAATCTAAGCATATAGCTTTTATTTCGAAAACTTGAAACCCCTATAATGCCATTCCATATGTTTTCTGTGTATTATTGACATATTCACGAAAACTATGCTCCGCGAATAATGATCTTCTACTGTTGACTGTAGTCTATACTATTTTTTTTTTATTAGGAAACTCATCTGCTTTCGTTTTTACAATAATTTTCGTTTACACTTATATAATTAATCTAGCCAATAAAAGAGTTTAATAACTTGAATAAGTACTTCGAAGCAAAGTAAGCAATACACACAAATTATATAATGTAATCAATGGTGAAATACATTTTTACTTCAGGGGATTCCTAAATATGTATTTAGGCGACAGATTTGGGCGACTCCTAAATTTAGTGAAAGTGAGCATTAGTCTCTCTATCAGTGTTATTAATAAACAAGGTTTAGTGTTGGAGTAAATTTACGCTAAGACTGCACTTTTCGTATTATTAAACAGAGATTTAGTAAAGGTTAACTAGTACGAGGTTATATGGGAGTAATATTTAGGTACTCCTAGAAGGTAGTTTGCGGTTTGCATATACATACTCTGTATAATATGAATTTCGACTAATGCTAAAATTACAATGAGGAAGTTTTTAAAAAAAAAACATTGGTTCCCGAAATCAAACTAAACGTCGCTACGGTACGTTCTTGATTTCTCCATGACAACCCTTCCGGTTTTCTTTCATGTTTAAAAGTAAATTAGTTTTTAAAACTCAATAAACAACTCATATTCTATTTGTACTTTTTCGTATTTGTATTAATATCTAAGTTTCGAACTTTCAAATTTCAGTTTTTTAATATGTTAGTCAAAAGGAACTGTCATTACTGTCTTTAGTTCATTCGTTTCCTGCAAAAATCAACTGTTGCTAGAGTCGCCATCGGAGCGGAGGTGCTTTTTTAGAGCTTTCTTTTTTTCTTAAGTACTTCCTCATTGTTATAAAAAAGAAAGCCTTATTTGTTTGCAATTTTGCGTTGAATAGGTAGAATTAAAAACAAAGAATTTTAAAAATTGATCTAGTTTTTTTAAATTCTCCATAACTTACCCAAGCGAAGTCGCAAAATAGCTAGCTTTTATTTAATACATAACAATACATACAAGCACGAATATAATTATCTATACATTATTATATATTAAATCTTATTCATAATTAATAAAATTATATATACATATATTTCATTTTGTTAAATTAGAAAAGGATTTTATATAAGTAGAATTATTATTGTGAATTTTGCATTTATTATGTTATTTGTTTTAAAAATATTAAAAAAAATATCTTTTAATCCACATTAAAATTGTGAAAATGATGATTCTAATATGTGCAAATCCGAATGAGTTGGATGTTATGGATATGTTATATTTCTTTCTTTCGACTTCGCCCGTGTAAATAATAGCCTATATTATCCGCATATGATTAGCTACATTGTAATTGAAAGACATTTTAAAATCATCAAGGTTCGGTTAAACAATCAAGTCAAAGAATTTTCATGATCGGAGTATTTCTTAAGATTACCTACAAAGTTAGAAACTTCATCGCTTTATAATAGTATTATTAGATCAGATGATTGTTAACCTTAACCGCCACTTTAAAATCATCAGTTCAAAATCTCAACATAACTTACCAACATGATCAATGTTTACCTACTATCTACTTAATGTTTGAATCTGGCACACTGTTTGTTTGTGTTACAAAAAAATAAAAATATATTGACTACTTATCAATGTTGTTTATTTGAAGTTTAAGTTGATATTGTCTTATATATCAGTTTCTATCTTTGAACATGTTCTTAGAGGTCTGGCATCTTAACCCGCGTAATGTTGATTTTGGGGTGTGAAAGCAAACAGTGGTAACGGCCCGTCACCGCCAGCCGTTGTTCCCATCGCCCGCTCCCGCCGATGTCGATGGGTGTTTGTTTACATGGCGAATTGATTGCTTGCACCTACCCTTTTAAGGGTTGTTATTTAACGTATTTTATAAATATTAATATATTTTCGAGACACTTTTCATAATTCAGAAATTGATAAGCCGTTACTTTTTTTTTATTTATGATGGGCTCACTTTTGTCCTCGATCTAGCCCAATTAACAAGGTTGATTACACTTGTTTCTACTTGACTGTTTATTTAGACAAACTACAAGCATTATACCCACTTAATTACATGTTGCTCACTTTCCGTTTGTTAAAATACTAGCAAAGGTAAGTTAACTTTTTAAAATAAAAATAAAAATTTAAGAGCATACTTCAACTTCTAAAACCTTTTTAGTGAACTATTATCTAAATGATAAATTATCGTTGCTATTGTTATATTTTAATTTGCTATTATCAAAAAAGGCTTATTACATATAACTTACATTCATTATAATAATGAATGATCTAAACTATAATTTAGTATTTTCCATTGTAAATTTCAACATAAGTAAGTACCTACTCCTGTTCAAGTAATTCGAAAGTTTTCCCAACCCTTAATGTTATATGACTTTTCGCCATACTTATTAAACTATACTTTTCACCCCTAATGTGAATCTCGTTTGCTGAACACTTGCACAATACGAGAGAAAGATTATGTTGCGTAAAAATGACACGGGTGACACATTATTCATCTTTATTATATTAAAAGATATTTTTAATAACTTATTTATTTGTTTTAAAACTTATATGTATTATCATTGCAGGCTTAACCTAATTCGAGAGTGAAAGCTAATTCTCTTAATAAGAAAAGAAAGAAAGAAAATACATTTATTGACCACATAGGTTGATACAATAATGGTTTAACTTAAAGATAAAAACATTTATTAAAAGTGGTGGCCAATCAGGACTCTGCCTCAGCATAAGCCATACCAGTGTAGATTATTACCCTGATACGGCGCTGGTTATTCTGGCAGAGCCTGTGTAGATGGTTGACGTTATACATATATACGAGGGTCAAACTGAAAGTTCTTAGAAAATCAAAAACTGATTACATTAGCCAGTTATTAGTTTTATTATATCTTTTCAAAATATTGTCCATTCACGTCAATACACCGCTGCATGCGATGGAACCACTGGGAAAAGCACTTTGCCCACTCGTCCTTAGGGGTCTCTTCAATGGCATCGCGATACGCAGCCACCGCTTCTTCAGCATTCATAAACCGCTTTCCTTTAAGTTTTTCTTTAATTTTTGGAAATAAATAAAAATCACAAGGCGCGAGGTCGGGGCTATACGGCGGGTGACCCAGTAATTCAACGTTTGATGTCGCCAAATAGTCGATCGTTCGCTTGGCGGTGTGCGACGAGGCGTTGTCGTGGTGAAGGAGGATCCTACTGCGAGGTCGTTTCTCTCGAACTTTTTCCAAGACAAGTGGCAAACAATTGGTAGTGTACCATTCTGCAGAAACTGTTTTTTGATCCTCTAACACAATTGTTGCAAAATGACCTATCCTTCCAAAGAACGAGGCCACCATTTTTTTTCCCGCACTTCGATCTCTCTTCACTTTAGTTGGCAACTCCTCGAAAGGAAACACCCACTGAGCAGATTGTCTTTTGGTTTTAGGATCATAACAGTAAATCCAGCTTTCGTCACCTGTTAGTATGTCGAACACAGCATTTGAGTCACCTCCGTTAAATCTTTCAATCATTTTACGACACCAATCCACACGATGGAGTTTTTGAGCCTCAGTCAAATTATGAGGTATCCACCGGGCGCAAAGCTTCCTGACCGCTAAATGTTCGTGGAGGATTTTGTGCACTTGACTCATACCGATGCCTAAGCTTGTCCGAATCTGTTGATAGGTCACTCTTTTGTCAGTCTCTATCATACGCCGCACAACACAGATGTTATCTTCAGTCGTCGCCGTAGAAGGCCGTCCCTCACGTAAATCATCAGTGAGATTAGTGCGACCACGTTTAAACTCATTAAACCAGTTGTAAACAGTCGCACGAGATGGGGCTTCATCGTGAAAGGCCAATCGTAGTCTATCATAACTTTCTTGTTGACTTAAATGACATCGAAAGTCATAAAAAATCATTGCACGAAAATTTTCTCGTGTTAAATTCATGATGACGTGACACAGACAATTTTCAATTTGTCGCCAAATCGTAAAACAAATGACAAATGAATGAAATATATACTCAGTAATATTGGCAAAGAGTTATATTTTCAAATTTTAGAATTATTTTTTTATTATATTGTTTATAAGTGGCCAGTTCTAAGAACTTTCAGTTTGACCCTCGTATATAATTATAGTGTATATACTAAATGAGTAATATATATTACTAATACGTACTAATAAACTAAAATATTTATAATGTGTAAAATCAAACACGTACCGAATCGACCAAAATTCAAAAACATGCATGGTCGCACCATTACAATGTAAAGAAATTATAATGGTGCGAACCTGTAGTGCGAACCTACCAAGTTCCCCTTGCATTGGCTGTATTAATTGATTCCTGCGACGAGTATCAACAACAACAATAAAAAATAAAAGTAATAAGTTTACTATTATTTCCTCATGAAGTAACATAATACCTACATTTAATGCCATCCTTATAAGTTCACTCCGAGAACATACAAAAAAATCTACCTATATTATTATTGATTATTAATAAAATTATTGAATTAAATATTTTCAAAGTTCTTGTAGAGCGTGCTAGTGGTACCCTTGCTTAATAGGCTAGTTAGTGTAAGAACGTGACATAGCTAGCAGCTGCGAACATCGTACTGGTATGACATACATTGAAACATTACCTAAAATGACATTGAAATACGAGTACCTTTCAGTAAATGGAACAAAAATGATACCAAGGCTAGGTCTTTTCTAACATACCATATCTGATAAAAATAAAATAGTATTGTAACGGGTAATAAGAATAGACTTCATACTGTCTCAAATACAAATACCAAAAAAAAAATGTATTTCCTCCATCTTATTGCATTTATAGAGTGTGGGAGTTTTAAAAAGCAAGTATAAGTAATTAATTCGATAAATGACAACGCAAGAAATTATGTTTTATGTTCAATAACTATTTCTTTTACTTTATTGAAAAAAAAAATGTGTAGGTAGGTACATTAATCATTTTTAATTAATTTATATTATTTTACACTGCAAGTGTATGGCTTTTTTTGGGTGAGGTTATGTTCAATGTTAAATGTACCTGTTACTCTGTTACCTGTGTAGTTCATAAAATAGTTTCTAAACAAATGTGTAATTTAATCAGTTAATCCATTTAATAAAATAAAATAGCATGCCTTTTTACCAATATTCGCCTTGGAGTTCTAATTGCGGGGTCGAATAATGACAATATACAAAATAATTTTAGCATATTTATTGTAGATATTATTTTCCGATGATGTTAAGTGACTTTATATTCTTTCATTTAATATCACATATCCAATAAGAGTTCCGTTTTTCTTTTGAAATATGAAGAACGGGCTAAATATACAAGAAATTTCGTAGTTGATTAAATTTGGTTAACAAACTTGCTTTCAATCTTTTACTGTTTTGTTTAACGACAGCGGTGCAACATGAACGAGCACCGCGGCCAGCAGTGACGGCGGCTCATCATCAATTAACTCTCCAGAAGCTGGGTTACAGCCTCAACCGACAACAGGCGTTCTTCCCCACTCCCACACCTCTCACATTCAGCGGTTTTCCCCCTCTCCATACCTACAGTCATCTCGCCCACCCACCGGATGCCTCATCTAATGTACACACCTCCTTTTTAGAAACTTCCTTTCAAGGCTTCCCCACTTCGAGACTTCCCGAAACGTTGCCGACGGACATGGCCCAACTCAATCCACTGCTCAACTCTCAAATCGGACCGCTCAATACAATGAGTCCGTTCAAGATACCTCTTTTCTCAAATACGTTGCCCTATCCACTTCCACATCATGGATATTTCCCGACTAATATTTTCTATCCGCCCATGATATCGAACGAGAGTCCCGCGACGGTGGTGATGCAATCGATGAGTAGTAAGTATCTCGATGGTTCAAATTTATTTATTACTATAGAATTAAGTAGGTATAATAACAGCAATAAAATAATGCCAATTTTTGTGCACTGCGCACAAGCAGTGCGAAATAAGAATATTAAAAAATCAACTCATCATGCTAAGGTATAATAGATTAAATTAATATTTTCAGGAGATCAAGCTCATGGAAGTAATCCTTCAAAACTGTCATTACCATTCGAACACACTGATAAACCCGACTCTCAACTATCCGAAAAAATTAAGGAGGATGAAGTTTCAAGTTCAGAAGAAGCTTTTGTAAGGGAATGTTCTCCTGAAGATGTCAGCAAAGATGGTAAGCAATTCCAGTTTTAAAAAAATGTAATGGTTCATCGTTATGACTGTAAATTTTTAAGTGTTTTTTATTAATAATCATAATTATTTTTGTGAGCTCTAGCCAAGCGAACAGTTAAAAGCTTTTGCGAACGATAGAAAGCTGTAATAAAATGCGATTGCGACTGAGCAGTTTTGTTTCAACCGTCTATTAATGACAAAAAAACTATCACAGTAATTACCAGATGCTTATTTTATCCATTAAAGATGATCACTTGCTTTTTTTTCATTCCACGTCTAGATTCAAGGACGCAACAAAATTCTCCACCGATATTTGTGGTGTCACGGAACTTTGAAAAGTACAACTTGCATATTTCGAACCAAAAAGATAACGTGGAGCAGCAAACAAAAGATCTTCACAAATTAAATAATTTAACGGAAAACAATAAAACCTTTGCAGACAACTTTAATCAATATGAGACGAAATCAAAAAAGAACATTCAGGGTGATTGGTCGTTTCTAACGCAGGACATTTATGATCCGGCCGCAAAACTCTTAGTACTTTCTATAAAGTGGTTACATGGATTACCATCGTTTATACAAATGAAAAATTGTGACCAAATATATTTACTCACCAATAATTGGAAAGAACTTTTTATTCTCACGGCAGCTCAGCATTCTTTTAGAGTTGACGAAGGTTAGTAAGTTGAATATATTTTTTTAAGTACTACGTGAACTTAACTTTATCTCGAAACGCATCCTACTGTCAGTTAAAATCGGAAAGAAACTGACGCAGTCGTGTGTTATAATAATTTGTCATTTTCTTTAATTTTTTCCTTATTGGCAACTAAAAATTCCATTTTGACTAGGTATCATGGCAACACAACTACATTCCAAGCGACCAAACTTTAAAGATGAATTAGGAAAACTAAGTATTCTACTGCAACGGATATGTCAATGTAGATTAGATAAATCTGAATATGACTGGTTGAAATCTGCACTATTGTTTCGTACAGGTGAGTTATTAATTCATAGCGTGAAGGTATTTAACTCCAATCGTACAAATAAAATAAGAAGTAAGAATAAATAAGTAAATACTTACCGAAAAATAATTTAAAAGCCGAATGTAACTTTGTGGCTTTCAAGATGTGTTTAAAAGTCGAGGATAATATTATTTTAGTGAATATTAATAATAATAATTTATTAATAAATTACTTATTTAAAGGTAAACCTAAGGTTTATACTACCGTATAAAATTATTTTACATTGTTTCTTTAATATTATTATTTGCATATACACCAACATTTCGTTTGGTATGTATGTAAATATTTTAGTTGATGTCTGAACTAGGTTGACCTGAGTGCCTAATAACGTAATTTAGTTATATAATCACTACTTAATTAGCAAACATTCTATATTAAATATGAATATCTTAAATAAAAAGGTTTTTTGCATTAAATAAATCTCATCTTCCTTCTCTATTTTAAAAACTGCTCAGATATTGTTTGTTCACCGCTTAAATTAAAAACCTGCTTTTACGTCTGCTACATCTCAATTCACATTCATCATTCCACTCTTATTTTAAATGCTAATAAATTCATATATAATATTATTAGGTAAATTAGAAAGGAATGATCACAAGGATCCATTTAGTTTGTTTCTATTTATAGACGCAGTGGACGGCCCTTCAACATCGCAAATAGAAAACGTACAGGAGCAAACGCTTTTGCTGTTACAAAAGCATTGTTCAACCAAGGACTCGACGCGCTTGGGGCGGATTATGATGCTGCTGCCCAGCATATGTTCTTTCGCGAATCAGAGCTTTCTACAGAATTTACTTTTTCCTTCCACTTCTATAGACGAAGTTAATGCAACTTTAACGAGAATACTGATGTTTACCACGACGTAACTGCAATAAAGTTATACTGCTCGCGTGAAATGTATTTATTCTTACTGAATACAGTATTTTTTAGTGTTCTAGTTCTTGCGAAAATATATAGATTATTTTCGTAACACAAGTAACATTCCATTAGAAAAGGCATTTATCTTAAAGACAAATATTTAAAGGTTATTGGTGCTTTACGATTCTGTAAAAATCCGAATCCGAATTTAGATTCACTCAGGTGTATATACACTTCAAAAAACAGCATCCACTTAATCTTGAATCGGTAATAACGTTTCATGGCATAAGTGAAATGAGTTTCGAAATGACATAGTAAGAGAATATTTGAGACACGTATAATCAATCAATTTTGTTTTATATTTTTATTCAAAAACTGGAATGAATAGAATTTCTTCACTAAATAATATGAATTCAGACATAAGAGAGAACTTGAATAAGGGTTCGGATTTTTACAAAATCGCCCTGCAGATCGTTCATTTCAGTTCTCGAGTAACTCGAAATATTTATATTTTACCATTTGCTTATTAATTATACTGATTAAAATGTTGGTAACGTTTTAAAATTAGTTAAAAATGTTACTATCTTCTGATAACACTAAGCACTCAGTCGCGCATTCGCCGGGCAACGAGCGTCTTCGTCAATCGAGCATGCCCGCACCGCAACCGTCCAGGGGGCCAATTCTACTAAATAAATTTTGTTTAAATCGAATAGAAGACGGATTGGATCCGAACGAAACTACAGTTTTTAAGGGTTTTCTTAGTCTACAAAGTGACATACGATACAATTCTAGTTCTATTTTAGCTGGAATTGTATCGTATGTCACTTACGATCAGTTGCACAAACGTCCATTAAGGTTTAATGACGCCCTTAAGCTCTAATGAATGTCAAATTTGTATGGGTAATGTCGCTTTAAACTAATGGTAATTTTAATGGATGTTTGTGCAACTGGCTGATTGTAGAATAGAAAAAACCATTAAAAACTGTAGTTTCGTTCGTACTTGAAAAAGCTTTCTTATCGCTTTTACAAAATCAAAAACGAGAAGACACGCTCTTGGGAAATAACTTATACGAAAAAATTAAAGCTTCAAAAGCAAAAAACTTACAGTAAAACGTTTATTACATAAAATAATTTTAAAATAGAGGATTTAAGGATCAGTTAAAAGAAAAAGAAAGCTATTAAGACTTTTTAGGATGATGAACAAGGGAATTCTTTGTACAAATTTAATGCTATGCCTTATGGCTTATTTTCCGCACACTAAAATCACGAAGTCGTCTCTCATATTAGAAACATAGGTTTCTATCTGTAATATATTTAGATGATATTTTATGCTTATGCAATAATTAGGAAGCTTTCCTATTAAATGCAAAAAGACTGAAATTATTCAAGTGTTAGGATACGTTAATAATGCCGTTATGATTTATTTACAATTCGATTGAATTCTTATGATAAGCATAAATGAATCAGGTTACTTGCAAAAATAATTCTCTCTTACCTCTTTGTACAATCAGGGAGTTTGCACACTTTATTTGTACTCTAACTGCAGCTTGCCCGGACGTAAGATACAGTTGGTTACACACCAAACGTCTTGAAGGACAAAAGTTTCTCGCTCTTAAGGAATTCGATAATAGCTGTACATAAGTTATATAAATTCAATTCAATACGCTCATTTGAACAATGTGACCCCTAACCGAAACCGAAAGATTTGATTAACTGCTACTTACGAAGGACAGTGAATCGAGAAGAACTAATACCGATATAGAATGTTCACTCAGTTATTTAGCATTCAAAATTATAGCAAAGTATATTATAATAAACTAGCTTTCCGTCAGCGGCTTCGCCGGCATGGTCTTGTATTATACATAAAAACTTTTCTTGTGTCTACCCTATCTATGAAAAAAAACCGCATCAAAATCCGTTGTGTAGTTTAAAGATTTAAGCATACATAGGGATATTGGGGCAGGAAAAGCAACTTTGTTTTATACGTTATTTGGCAAACCTATAGCACCATGTAACGTATAAGAAATACGTTACATGGTGATCTTTAAAAAAATACCATGCCCCAATATAGCACCACCTATAAGTTATGGTGCCCATACATTGCTTCCCTGTCGTCAATACTATTATTTTTGGCTGGGCAGTTTCACAAAGCAGCTCCTTAAGGAACTTTAAATAGTCACTATTTCGCCCTGAGTTTACTTTGTGGAAATGATTTCTGCTCAGAATATCATAAAACAATTATTCAAAGGTGTCTTTAAATTGAGGACTGCCTAAATATTCTTTTGCTTGGGATCTACAAATGGTTCTGGATCATAATGGATTCCGAATGAAGGCCTTACACTGGTAAAAATAACCAAAAACATATTAAAACTTGCAACATTAAAAGAGACATTAAACATTAGGCCTCATCAATGTACTAAATTTATTGTTAACTTTGAAAGCTCCGCATAAAGCAGCGACTGCTCAAACCATCAGCCGTTGGATAAAGCAGGTACTATCAAAATGCTGCTTGGATGTAACAGCACTAAAGCACACAGTAGACGTCACGCTGCCACCTCAACGGCGCGTGCCTATGATCTTTCTCTGAACCTTATTAGAAAAAATGCCGGATAGATGGAAAATTCGAAAGTGTTCGTATTTTGATTCGATCACAACCTATAATGAAGTGATAGAATCATGATCTGTAAATTATTCGATATTTTGACCCACACCTTCAATCAAACAGTGATGCAACAAGCAAAATATATTCTATCTCATATGTTTACACACAATTAACTACCTCCATTTACCTCTCTCTTTCTCACTTTGTTTACGTACGTAAAATGACCTAAACGAAACGGGTTTCGTAAAGGATGTACGACCCGAACCTCGCGCCGCTAACCCGGTACCAGTGGTGGACTAACCATATCTGAGGCCTGGGGCGGCAAGGGGCCCGGGTCGATTACTTTTTCCAACCAGGGCAGAAACTTATAGAGTTAAATTTATCATACATTTTTAACTTTATTATACTCGTATTATTATGATTTTGGCGGATGGCTGCAGCCATTTATAGTCCAGCCCAGCACTATTGATTTCTCTTTCTTTTGTGGCGAGACCGATGATGGCGTAATCGAATCTTGTAAAAGACACAAAATTACTTATAAGCAGTTTGATCTGTAAATTATGAATTTTGACACGTGCATACCTCTGTTGGTAATATAAAAGAACTGCGACCCAGATAACCGAATATTTTTGACCCGATCACCTAACGAGTGAGCCATGATCGACTCGGGTTACAATAAATGGATCAATCGACACAGCTCTAGTATGGGTTAGCCAAAATAAAAATACATCAAAGTCCCTTCTCTGAAATTATTTTATTTTATTTATTTTATTTTATTTTATTTTATTAGGGTGGCTAACTGCTTGAATTACAAAGTAACTTACAAACTATTTGATGAGAGCAAATGACAAGCCTCCACAGATAGCGGTAAATTTAACAATAAACAAATATCTCTGACCTTAGTAAAGAACAATGTTATTTAAGAGGCTGAATAGTGCCAAATCGATAAAATTGATCTAGGATTGTACTAATTCACGGGAAACCTATGGTAATCCAAAAATTTGTGGTTATACTTGATCGTATTTCTGATCTTGTGGTTGAAACCGAAACATGATTGTATTAACTTCACTCGATAGAAAATAATTCCAAAGTAGCATCTAAAAATATTGCGAAAGGCACGTTTCTCAATTATGTGATACATTAGAGTAATGATATTGAGTACAAATATGTATCAAAGGTTGATATAAAAGTTGGTTATTCCCAATTTTTGATAATGTTATTATAATAATTAATATAATTTATTTTGTGATATGGCACATATGGTCATTTTTTTCAAGCAACTTTAAAGTATTGACATTTCTGTCACTCCTACTGCAATTGACAGGGAAGGCTATAGAATAACGCACACTAACTTAGTTCACGCTGAGGCGTGTTGCTAGATGGACCTATGTTGCTTTGTGCAGCGTTCTGACGTACCGAGATCGCTAAAATTGTAAAAAAAAGAACATTTAAAATAAGTATTTTAATTTCGCTCTCGTTTTAACAATATCTTTGGTGTAATGTACTAGGGTAGGGACCCGAGTGTCTCGAAGTTGTAAGTTCTAATCCCACTAGAGCTCGCATTTTTTCAAGTCGTTTTTTTATTATTTTATTCTAATTTTCATTTTTTTTCTGCCATAATTTTAAAAAGCAACTTTTTTTTATTATTATTATTAAACAGTATAAAATGTGAAAATAAATATTTCGTTAGTATGACGTAGGCAAAAGTCAGACTGACATTTTCATACAAAAGCCCCGATATTGATGAAATAGTTCCAATAAAATACATGTTCGTGTTCCAATCCCATCAAAGAAGCATTTTTGTTTTACTTTTATCTTCTTTTCCCCGATATATTTTCCTCTCTAATTTTTTTATAGGTATATGTTAATCATTAATAATTCGTTAAAATAATTTTGAATATTATTTTATACAGTAACTAAGTATTATTTAATTATCTAGTCTAGTTGATAAATTTAATTGCTGTAAAAATATATAACATAAAATTTGACAATAGGTAAATATTTCCATAAAAGTATGTATTTGCAAAAGTTTGACATTTTCATGCAAAAACCATCCCGTAGACCGTTACTCTAGTAAAAAATAATTCCTAATCAATCATATTGTGTAAATAAAATAGTTCAATAAATAGGTATTACTTTATAAAACAGATATAAAAAAGGGAATTAGTTACTATTGAATGAATTTGAAAATTATGGAAACAATGTACTAAATAATAATGTACAGGTTTTTCACAAACTTTACTAAGGTTTGGTGTGGCGCAATGTCCTATGTGCTGGTCACTAGGTGCTCATTGTGCCGCAGATCAAAACCAAGTTTCATGTTATTTTTTTTTACCCAATATTTTTATTATGAGAAATATAATATTAAAAATTATTTATGTGTTTATACTAAAATATAAATTATTA